CCCCCGCTCCTGTCAACCCAAAGGCTGGTAACAGCCTCCCACTTTGCAGATGAGAAAACAGAGGCCCACAAAGGTTCCGGAACTCGCCTAAGGTCCCAGGCGTCCAGTTCTCTGTGCTGATGACACCGACAAGCATGGGGTGGAAAATCCCCATGGGTGGAAAGGGCAGATTACGAGCAGCAGAGGATTTCCTCTCTAATCATGCTGCTCTGGGGACAATATTATAACCCAAGTTGTGTGCCAGGGGCTCAGAGGCCGGGCCACGGCGAGGGGGTCTGGTGGTGTCACCACGGCAGAGGGGAAGCCAGCCTGGGAGAGACGTGAGGGAATGAAAACACAAGAAGCGAGCAAGGACTCCCTGCGAAGAGAAGCCTGCACTGTGCCCACACCCCCCGTTTTACGGATCTCCATGAGCTGTGCTGGCTCACACAGGCACACAGGAGAGCAGGGATGAGGCACCGGGTCTGGCTTCCCCAGAAGAGGTGCCACAGCTTTGCTACACAGGTCTAGGCTCTGGAGCTGCCCCCGGCCCTGTGTCCATCTGCCAGGGACCAAGCTCTTGGAGGCCTTCCATTGCTGGTGGGGCCTCCCATGGGAGTGTCTCCTAGCCCGACAGAGACAGAACATCCCGGGCCAAGGGACAGCACACACAGAGTGGCAGGCCCAGACTCTGACACAGGAGACCCAACATGGACCCTAGGTCCCCCAAGCGGTCGCGTGGGACCTGGAGCAAGTCACCGCTCCTTTCCAAGCCTCAGTTTCCCCATCTACAATATGGGACCATTTGGGGGCTCTGAGCATAATGGAGTCAGGGCTGGGAAGGTCTTTCTGGTAAACTGTAAAGTGCTGGGGACGCCCTGGCCTTCCCCAGGGTCACCTACCAATAAGCCTCTTAAGGTCAGCCTTCCTTTAGTGCCTGGCCCGACACCCCAAGGCCCTGGATGGAAGGTCAGGGTCAGGTTGGGGAGGGAGGGGGAAAGGCTAATCTAACCCACCCCATTGTCTTCGCTGACCTTTGCTCCCAGACCTAGCTGGGTTGAGGAAAAGCCGTCTTCTTAGTGATCCTGCCCAGGAGGTACTGAGCTGGGAGGCCCCTAATAAAAGACCTATTCAGGGCCTTTTTTCAAGGTCCAGACCACCCTCACTCCATCCTCCCTCGAAATCAACAAAAAACACAAGCAGGAGAATAAATCCATCTTATTCTGAGAAGCTGAAATTTTTCACCCAAACTTTTAAAAGTAAACAGGGCCCAAACAAAGGCTGCCGGAGGTCCTGATTTCCCTAGGTTAGTTAAAGGGGAATGGGCAAGGGTGTGCCTGGGGAGGGCAGGATGTGGATACAGGGACTTGGGGGGAGGGGGGGAAGCAAGGGTGGGGGAGGGGTGGGAGGGAAACTCTTGAAAATGCTTTTGTCTGAGGGCGCCTGGGTGGCTCAGTCTGACTTCAGCCTAGGTCGTGATCTAGCTGTTCCCGAGTTCAAGCCCCTCATGGGGCTCTGTGCCGACAGCTCAGAGCCTGGAGCCTGTTTCAGATTCTGTCTGTCTCTCTGCCCCTCCCCCCACTCACTCTCTGTCTCTCTCTGTCTCCCTCTCAAAAATAAACATTAAAAAAATTCTTTTAAAGAAAAAAGAAAATGCTTTTGCTTGAAAGTTATCAGTTCAAGGGGGCAAATGTGACTTTCTTGAGTTTGGGGTTCTCCTGCCCCGTTTGTCCCGCATGAGTACAGCAAAGAGCATTCCAGTCCGGACGTCAATCAGCACAGCCCAGACCTTGGTCAAAAACAACCTGGGAAAAAGGCCTGTTTGCATATGCATTCTGGGCTGCCAGGCCCCACCCAGCCAAGGGCAGCCGGGCCACAGCAGCCTTCCTGGGCGTGGGCGCCGGCCCCCCCCCCCGACCCCGGCTGCAGGCACCCGGCTACTTCCAAGGTAACTACAGGGCCACAGTCCCCATCTGAGCAGGTGCTATGGTCTCAAAGGTCCAGGCGAGCTGTCTAAACAGCAGAGTTTTGAAGAGAACACCAAAGTCTGCCTGGCAGGCCCCTTTGCAAAGGGGTCCCTTTTGTTTTTTCATGAGGAGCCTGGGAAGAAATACGCAGCACAAGGATTCGGACAACTGCAGAGACTCACTGTGTGCAGATCCTGACCTCCCTCGACCTCGGTGGATAAAGGGGATGCTCTAGGTTTTGCCCCGCTTTGCAGAAAAGCAGAGAGAGGCTCAGAGAAGTTAAGTAACTTGTCCCAGAGACCAGGAGGAGGCAGATTCGAATGAAGACAGTCTGACCCCTCCGGGTAATAGGGTTATCAACCATCTGCTCTGTGGTCACCGATAAGGAAGTGACACTTCCCAGAATGTCAAACAAGAGCAAACCAGGGTCTCGAGTCAACAATGTCTGTTAAGAGTCCTGGCAGGACGGCCCTCACTCAGCCTGAGCCATGGACGAGCCCCCGCGGCCCCCGGATGACCCCCGCCCAGCAACCCACAGCTCCCCCTGCAGCTTCCCCCCACCAGCTAACTGGTGCTAAGACGCTTCCAATCTCCACTGCTTTCCCAGACAATGCTCAGAACCTCTCTCAGCCTCCACTTGCTCGTCTGAAAATGGGGCTAATACTGCTTCCCAGGGTTCTCGTGAGGATGAACAGAGACCAAGTATGTAAGGCAGAAGCCCAGTCTCCACCGCACTGTCTCCACCACCCAGACTGAGGCTTTTTATCTTTCCCATCTCCTCCAGCCCCCCCCCACATAAAACTACAGATCCGAGCACAGAAAGGCAGTTTATCTTTATTTATTTTTAGAGAGAGATAGAGAGCGAGCAGGGGAGGAGCAGAGAGAGAGAGAGAGAGAGAGAGAGAGAGAATCCCAAGCAGGCTCCACTCTGCCAGCAAAGAGCCTGACAGCCTCAATCTCACAATGCTGAGATCATGACCTGAGCCGAAATTAAGAGTTGGATGCTCAACCAGCTGAGCCACCCAGGCGCCCCCAGAAAAGTAGTTTTTAAGAGAAGGGACTTTCCTTGTTTCCAGGCATCCTATTCACATTGTTGGGAGAATTTATCTCAAGGCCACGCAGAACTTCAAGAGACAAAAGTAAACACCAACCTGTCTGCAACTGAAGTCAGTGAAAGTATTGCTGAATTTGTGTTTCACCCAACACAGAGCTCTGCCACAAGATCTGTGGCTCGCCTGTTCCCAGAGAGCTTGGGACTTGAGGGCTGGGGGGGGGGGGGGGGGGGTGGGAGGACTCTGCAGGAAACTCTACACCTCAGCTCCCACGCACCCCCTGGTCCCCGGCTCCAGCATCATCCACCGCTATGGTTGAACACTGAGCCAGGCAGGAGCCGCGTCTCTGTGTCCAAAGCAGGACAGAACTTCCCTGCGAGCACACAGCAGCACCCAGCACTTCGGTGCAGTGTGCTCAGGGCCACTCTCTCCCAAGTGTCATTGATGACGCAGCTGAAAACCAGAAACGTTTCATTTCCCAGCCACACGGCTGCAGCGATCCCTCCCTGCACTTGGGAGAAACTGAGGCCCAGAAATCTGCCCCTCCCAAGGCACCCAAGGCGGCAAGGCCAGAGAGGCTGGGACTCCTGAGTCCCTAGACCCAAGAAACCGCAACAAATTAAACCACCCACTGGCCTTAAGCAGCCGGCTGGGGTGGGAAATGGGGGTGGGTACAGAGTTACAAAGGGAAACCTGAGTTGCTAATCAGTAACAAAATATCCCTCTCAACCCAGTCCTGCTCTGAACTGCCAGGCTCCGAAGGTAAATAAAGGAAAAACTGTGCCGTGCTAGCTCTCCCCACCTCCATGTGGCCAGTGCCCACCCCAACACCCCAGAGGCCACTTGGCCCCCATCAAACCGGAGAGGGAGCGTCCCTCCTCCGCTCAGGCGTTACTCTGGGGAAGGACAATCATTTAAAGCCCAGACACATTTTCTCTGAACTAGGAAAGCCTTCAAAGAAAACCAGAAAGGGCTGTTTAATCTCCACCTTCAGGCAAATAGTTCAGGCAGCACAATGCCACCACAACTGGGAGCCAAGCCACCAAAAATGTGGAAGAACGAGGAGACAGGGAGAGCCACGGATCAGAGCGCTGGGAACAGAAGCCGCTGCTCAAGCTGGGGGCCCAGCAGCCACCGGGCCACCGTGGAAGACAGTAGCTGAGCTTTCCTGAGGCCAAAGGTCCTCCACCCACACCCGGGCCACCTACCACTACTACACTTCCTGCACGGCGACCCACAGTTTACAAATCCCTTGGGGGAGCTTTATCTCCACCTCAGATCCACAAGACAGAGGAAAACTCCATTCCACAGATAAAGGCACAGAGGTAGGCAGAGGAGAAAAGCCAGGATCCATTCCAAGCACATATCCCTCTGGAAAGCCTTAGAGTCTCGGTTCAGAAAGGTCCCTCCTCCTTGAGTCCAGGACTGACCGCACACCAGAAAGGCTCTCAGCCCCGGGGGCCCCTGGCCCAGCTGCCTGGGAGTCGCATCGCACTGCCCGGCTCTTTCTCAGCCACCAAGGCAGCGAGAGGAGCCCAGCTGCAATTCCGGTGGGCACGCACGTGGACGCTGCCCAGGTCTGGGGTTGCCTGCTGCCCCAAATAAGACGGGAAATTCAGCTGTACTGGAAGAGGCTTTTTCTTTCTCCCCGCCCCCCCTAAACTTCCCGCTCCTGGACAAGGATTTCCAGGCTGGGATGAGGCGTCCCTAGCCAGCCTTGCAGCGCCATGCACCAACACTGACAGTTTCACAGGAGGGAAACTTTTCTGGGGTCCGCTGGGACCCCGGCCCGGCCCGGCCGCGCATTCGGAAGCTGGGCAGGGCCACGCCTCCATCCCGTGTCCAGAAAAACACCACCCAAAGCCCCAATGCGCGTGGGTGCGGCATCCCCCCAGCCCAGAGTATGGATACCAGCCGGAGGAGGAGTCTGAAGTGGCGACCCACCCTGGGGGTAGGGGCCGTGGGCCTGAGACCCGCGCTACCGGACCCGCGCCGTCCTTACCGTGCAGGCCGTTGGGGATGCTTCGGTGGTGCGGTGGTGCGGACAGGTCGTCCAGGGACCTGCGCGTGGCTACTGCCTTGCAGTCGGGAGCCTTGTGCGGCCCGGGGGGCAGCAGCGGGGGCGGGACGTGGTGGTGGTGGTCCGGGCTGCCTCCGCTGCCCGCGCTGGACGTGCTGCTGCCGTCGCCCACGTCGCGGGCCCCCGCGCCCGCCGCGCCGCCCGCCAGCGGCCCGCTCAGGCTGGCCTGGCTGTCGAT